TGAGAGAGTGAGGGATAGCTCAAGTGGTTAGAGTTTCCCTCTCAATTCTAAGAGATCTTGCGATCAATTCTCACCCCCGCCCTTGTGGCTCTCTAAACACCAAAAAAAAACATTCATCATTGTATTTAGGCGGGAACTTTTTAGTAATAATAAATGCATTAATAGATGACATCATTGCATTGCGTTTACTAAAAAAGATGAGCGATTAATTTATGTCATATAATTTTAAGCACAATGCTCAAATTAAAGTTTAAATATTGTAATTTATAATAAACTTTTGTTTAATTTTAAGAAGAAAAAAAAACTTTGTGTACTTTGTATGTAATATATCTTCAAATCTAAATTAATTGACACGTTTGTTTTATCACGTTTGTCAATACATAAATTTAATCAAATATATCTTTAATTATTCAATTGTAAAAAGGATCTTGGTAACGAACGTTTACGGGGCGTTGGATAAGCATTTAAAATACTACCAAAAGTGGTATAAATTTGGGAAAGCATGACAAAATTACGCGCCAATCGGTGTAATTAATGTTCATTTTAATTTAAGCTTTCTACTTTTAGCTAGCTTATCCAACGTCCTTGGAGCGTTCGTTAGCTTTTACCTTGTAAAAATACTAAAATTTGAAACTTTAATTAAATACATATTGAAATGGATCTAACTCGATCACCCATATCTATGATTTTTTTTACATATAATTCACAAATGTTGATAAATGTAAAGTTTATTAGAGTTAAGCACAAATTCAGGTACTCAATTCTTCCTTTTTTCACCGTTTAGGTACTTCATTTTTTTACTTTGCTTTTGGATACTGAGTTAAGAATTCCGGCCAAAAAAAATAAATCAGCCTAAGAATTCAGTACCTTTGGTTAAAGAATTCAGTACCTTGGTTAAGAGAAAGTAGGCTTCACCTGATTAAAAAAATTCGCGAGTCACCCTTAATTTTTTCCCTTTCTTATTCTTTATTCCCCCTTTTTGCTCCCTTTATTCTTTCCTTTTCTGGAAATTCTAATGCGTCATTGTCGAAGAACACGAGCAAGCTTGGGCTCGATTCTGGGGAAAACGACACCAAAAGCCGCCATTTTTTTGAGGTGAGCTCAATTACTCATGGATTATGTTGATATTTTGATATAAATTTTGAATTTTTTGCCCATTTCTTGATGTTATTTGCGACCTAGCGTTTTCGATTTTTTGGGGTTTTTTTTGAACAAATTGATGATGTCGATTTCTTGTGTTTTTTGTGTTAAATTTGTTGCTTTGTTGTTGGATTAAGCTAGTGTTGTTGTTGAATGTTGATTGCATGTTGTTTAAATTGCGCAAGGGTTTGATTAGTTGAAGCTTACTGTTTCTGTTTTTTCCAATTTGCAGGAGGCTGATTTTGTGGCTGGTATACTGAAGAAGCAGCAGCAGGGGAAGAATTGAAGAAGCAGCAGCAGGGGAAGAACCTAGCAGCAACTTTTGTTTCTGTTGTTTTTTTTTTTCTAAAAAATCTGGGAAAACCTTGTTGAAGAATTTGTGCCTAAATAGACATGGTGAATGAACCTGTTTTGATGATATTTGTTGTTGGTGTACTGCTACATCTTCTGCGTTGCTGTTTTTTTTTTTATTATTATTATTATTGAAATTGAATCAGGGAAAATCGTTTTGGATGAATTTTGTTAAGAAAACATGGTGTGCTGCTAGTGTTTTGCAGGTGTTTTCGTGACATTTTTTTGGCCAAGTTCACGCCCCTTTAAATAGAGTAATAACGACTAGTTTATGAGTCAAAGTTAAGATTTTTTTTTTTAAATATTAATTTTTTTAATTATGTATGGTTAGTGATGAGTTAGTGGTAAGTTAGTTCACCTGAAAATCACTTTGAGTACCCAAAAGCAAAGCAAAAAAAAATTGAGTACCTAAAAAGTGAAAAAAGGAAGAATTGAGTACCTAATTGTACTCTTAACTCAGTTTATTAATAGTGGTGATTATTATTACTCCATCATTTTTATCATGCAACGAAACTTTTAGTAACCTTTGGCAACAACATACACATAGTTGACACACCTAATTTAAAAATAGATAATTTTTTTAGTGATCAAGTCAAGTTGTAATCAAAGCTTAAAGCATACATTAATACAGTAATTTTTATTAGAAATAATAATTATGTGACGTGTTAAGACTTAGGAGGATGTTTTTCTTTCATAAATTATGTAAATATCTCATTTAGTCATATAATTTTATTTTTTTCATGAATATCTCATTTGATACTCTACGTGTATGGAATTATCAATAAATCATGACTCATGCTGCCGAAGATATACTATGATGTACTTTTCAATTGTCCATTAATCTAAGCTAGCGTGGATTAGGTTTTCAATTTTGACTCTTTCTCTTTGTACGATGTATAAATAATAAATTATCTAACTATGCGATGCAATTGTTGCAAGAATTAGCCAATAAAAAAAAAGTTTTATATTGGATTCGAGAGCTATTTTTTTTTTTTTTTTTTTAAAAAAACAAAGAAAAATCTCCATAACAGAGGTACAAACAAAAAAAAAAATTTACTTCAAATACTTCTTTTGAAAGGTAAATCATGCATTTTTTAGGTTTAAAAGAATGGTTAGCTAAAGTCTTCCTTAACTTATACGTACTTGACAAAAATACAGAGAGATAATCTATTTTCATATGCTCTAGGCTTCGGCTCAGTTTATTACTCCATTAACTAATCAAACAAATAAAATGAGGTTGAGGTAGTTGAGTAATAACGTCACTTTCCACTTTGCTTTTCTAAGAAGTAGAAATCAAATTTTACGGAACTCGTTTAAGAAATTATTTTATCTTCCCCATTCTCTCTCAAGGGAGCTTAATAATAATAATAATAATAATAATAATAATAAGAATAATAATTTTATAATAACAATTTGACCATTAAACCATTGAATTCAACCAGAATATGTTAAGATTATGTACCAAAACTTCAGTTGAGGTGTCAATGTGCAATATCACCATATTGGGCAATGGTCAGTGGGGAGATTGCAAGGTGTAAAGTTAAGAGGTTACGCGATGCTTAACCATTCGTGAACCGATAACATATAAATTGATACTTTCTTTAAATTTTGAAGACATCTTTTTTCAACATGTTCATACTTACCTTGGTCATCTCATCTCATTTATAATTTTAATGCAAAGGATATTGCAAGAATTACTTAATAGTTAAGACTTGTATTTAATCTACTTAAACAATTAAGAATCCACTCCTAAGTCATAAGTCCAATATTCAAGTTATCAATTCATAAAGGTTGATAGTAGTTAAAGTGTTATTTTGTTTAAATCCACAGATTTAATAGTCTATACACACTTTTAACATCTAATCATTTTTTTTTTGGATTGCTAAACATCGTCCGCAAATCTCCACATAAAGCCCACAAATCTATATTGAATTTACCTTATTGCCCTAAATCTAAAATTAAAAAAATCTAACCCATACCCACACTCTAATCACCCGAAAATACGGCAATGTTGAGGCGGCAAGGCGAGGACTTGGCGGCCACGGCGGCGGAGGGAAGGACGGCTCACGGTGGCAGGGTTTTTTTAAAAAAAAAAAATTTAAAAAAAAACAGAAGAGGTGGGGCGCCTGGCCAGGACGCCCAGCCCCTGGTGGTGGCGTCTGCTCCGGCCGCTGGAACCAGGGGGCTGGCGTCTGACCTGGACGCCTAGCCACGGTTGTGGCGTTTTCCAGAGGCGCCACCGTCGTGGCTGGGCGTCCAGGTCAGACGCCAGCCCCCTGGTCCCGGCGGCCGGAGCAGACGCCACCACCAGGGGCTGGGCGTCCTGGCCAGGCGCCCTACCACTTTTTTTTTTTTTTTGTCTAATATTTTTTTTTTTTGGAAAATCAGAATTCTTTTGTTAATGTTTAATATTTTTGTTTTATGTGTTAATGTTTTTATTTCTAATGTATATATTTTTTTTTAAATCAGAATTTTTTGTGTTTATGTTTAATTTTTTGTGTTAATGTTTAATTAAAAAAAACAAAAACTTTAAATAAAATTTAAATAAAATTACAAAAAAAAAAGAAAAAAAATAAATAAAAAATAACAAATTACAAAAAAAAAAAAAAAAATTACAAAAAGTAGGGGTGGCGTCTGGCCAGGACGCCACAGCCATGGTGGCGGCATCTGGCCAGGACGCCACAGCCATGGTGGCGGCGTCTGGCCAGGACGCCACAACCATGGTGGCTCCGTCCTGACCAGACGCCACCCCTACTTTTCGTAATTTTTCCCCCGGATTATCTCGCTTTCCGGCGACGATGACGGCTCTTCGGTGTCCCTCGGCGATCCACTCCAGCTCCACATTCTTCGTGAGAGTGAATTACGGTTTCGGTAAAAATTAGAAAAAGGGCAAAAGAGTCAAAGTAAAAATATTTGTGGGCTTTATGTGGAGATTTGCGGGCGACGTTTAACAAATCCCTTTTTTTTTGGTGTTCCACCCGATTTACCCTTTGAGCTAATTCGGATTCGGGGATCAGTTCTGGGTGATTAGGTTCCACTCCCCTCCCGATTGACACAAGTTTTCTCTATCAAGTGTAGTCTCAATCACCACTACACCAACAACCAATTGGTACATCTCATCATATTGTAATATCATATCATAATTAAGTGATTTGAGCATCACACTTATAAATTATTTCATACACCCAGGAGTATAATGCACTACAAATCAAAAACACAATTATTATATCAACAATATGATTAAAAAAACCAAAAATAGAAGTATAATCTAAATTTACGATATACTACTACAAGTATAACGAAAATAACACTAACCTTTTCGTGTCGACCGTGTGCACAAAATAACGATTGGCTATCACACACACATAGACCTAGTCGTTTATAACCATTGAGTAACCAAATAACTACAAACAAAATTGACACAAATAAATAAATAATTCCCATAAAGTGGCAATTAACCCCAAAATCTCCTACCATTTGTTTCGTGTCGGCCTTTGTAGATTTGCAGTTGATTACGACGCGTAGCGCAAATACTTCACAATATTCCCAATTGGTTGAATTAATCCTTTACACCTTAGCTTATTTTAATGGCGTCTATATATATAATATCAAATCATAGAATCACATTACATTCTAAAACCTTCTACTGAGAAAATCAACTGTTCTTCTTCTTCATACTCTCTTTCTTTCTTTCTCTCCTTATTTTTGAGGAGAGAAATTCTTAAAAAGTACCCTGAAAATTTGATTATCATTGAAAGAAAAGAAACTACTCAGAAGCTCATTTTTCTGTACTTTTTCCAATCATCATTTTTCAGTCACCCTTTACTTGAATTTTATCAATTTTCCACTTTTCTTTTTCTGGGGATTTTTGTCTAAAGATTTCCCACTTTTCTGGGTTTTAGCTATTTTAAAGAATTTTGTGACTGGGTTTCTATTTTGAGGATGAAGAACACTCGATTTCGTGTTCTTTTTAATGGAATTTCAACTGTTGTGTTTCTCATTTTCATGTATAATTCCAACTTTGGTGAAAAATGGAAGTTGGGAAGTGGGGTTTATGGTGGTGGAATTCATCAAATTGGGGGAAAACATGGCAGAATTATTACAGAAATTCATGGGATTTCATCAAATGTTAGTAAGGCTACTTTGTCTGATTACAAAATTTGTTCCCAGATTTTTAAGCATGAAGGTTATCAGAACAGCTGTGATTATGTTCTTGCTCACCCAGAATGTAATTCAGGTGGTTATTTCAATTACATCAAATTTATTTACTGTGATTGCAAGAAATTCTCCATTTTTGGGTACTTAATTCTTGCTATTTGGCTTGCTGTACTGTTCTATTTGTTGGGAAATACTGCTGCAGATTACTTTTGTTGTTCATTAGAAAAACTTTCAGAACTTCTGAAAATGTCTCCTACTGTTGCTGGTGTTACTTTGCTTCCTTTTGGTAATGGGGCACCTGATGTTTTTGCTAGCATTGCTGCTTTCATGGGCCGGGGTTCCGGCGACGATGTCGGAATTAATAGTGTATTGGGTGGTGCTGTGTTTGTTACTTGTGTTGTTGTAGGAGTTGTTTCACTTTTTGTTGCAGATAAGAGGGTACAAATTGATAAGACATGTTTTATAAGGGACTTGTGTTTTTTTCTTTTTAGTATAGCTTGCCTTACATTGATTTTGTTGATTGGTGAAGTTGGTATTTGGGGTGCTATAGCATTTGTGTCAATATATGTGGTTTATGGCTTGTATGTTGCTGTAACTGAGATTATAAATAAGAAGGGTAGGGGTTCGAAATTGGATGGATTGACACCATTGCTTCCTGTGGTTGGGAGTTTCTTTTCGTCGTGTAATGGTGAGGGGGAGGGTGATCAATCAATGTATGCTTCGTTGCTTAGTCCTGATAGCCATGATAATTCGCCTGAGGTGCCCTCGAAACTGCCTCATTGGATATGGAATGTTAATGTTGCAATCTATTCAGATTATACTAAGTCTGGTGTAGAAGATAGCTCTAGGCCTTTGTGGGGTTGGAATGATGAGGGGGAAATGAATGTAGAATCACCATGTTCATTTTCTACATTATTTTCAATTTTGGAGATACCTTTAAGTATTCCTAGACGTTTGACAATTCCTATAGTTGAGGAGGAAAGATGGTCTAAGGTGTATGCTATTGCCAGCGCGTTTTTAGCCCCCGTTCTACTGGCTGTTCTGTGGAATACGCAGGAAGAGATTGTTCCTATGAGTGGGAAAATTGCTTATTTCATTGGTGTTTCTGCTGGCTGCATCTTCAGTGTACTTGCCTTTCTGTACACATGTCCTGAGCACCCACCTCGTAGGTTCTTGTTCCCTTGGGTTTTTGGTGGATTCTTCATGAGTATCATATGGTTCTACATTGTAGCAAATGAGCTTGTTGCTCTGCTTGTTTCGTTGGGTACAATATTTGGTGTCAACCCATCAATTCTTGCTCTAACCATATTGGCCTGGGGGAATTCAATGGGTGATCTAATGTCAAACACTGCTCTTGCAATGAATGACAGAAACGGAGTGCAGATCGCTATGTCAGGAAGCTATGCAGGACCTATGTTTAATACACTGATCGGTTTAGGAATTTCTTTGGTGCTTGCAGCATGGTACAAGGGTTCAGAACCTTATGTAATTCAACAAGATAATGGTTTGTTCATCACTGTGGGATTCCTCGCAGCAGGTCTTATATGGGCTCTAATCGTTTTGCCCCAAAGTGATATGCGCCCTAATAGGATTTTAGGTGTTGGCCTCATAATCATATATGGTATCTTTCTGTCTCTTCAGGTCAGCATCGCCGTGGTTTCAGGGTCACAGTCGATTTAGGTTCTGTGTTGCTGTGTACATAATAGATAGACTCTTGGCTATAATGTATGCCGCCTCTTGTACAGTTACTAAATACGAAGTACTAGGTATTTTTTGGACTTGGTTCTTCAATTTCTGATACCAAGCCATCTTAATGGAAGGAATCTGTTGCCTTTTGTAATTGGATCATACTGTATTCTGCTCTAATCATCAATCAATAACTATATACTAAAAGACACACCAGCAATGACACGTGTCATCTCCTGGTGTGTCCTTAGTAATTTTTTTTTTTTTATTTTGGCTGAATAAAATGTTATTATTAAGGAAATAAATCATACACAAAAATATTTTCGTAATCTTATATAATTACTTAAAGTAACATATTTTGACATATCTTCAATACAAATATTTATAGCTAAAAAAAAAAGTACATTCCACATTTCCACTACAAGAATATATCATATTTATTGTTTTTTCTAAAAATGGTTTATATAGTTATTTATTAGAATTCATAATTCTAATACAAGATATTTATATAAAATCAATATTTATAGAAAATTAACAACGTATATTTTATTATCCCTTTGATAACTAATTGTCATAATCATAATCAATAACAATAACAATAATAATAATATTATTTCAATAATAATCTACTGTACATATACTAAAATAGAGGAACCTTAACTAAAATATTACACACGTCACTATTCATTACAAATCTCCTACAACCAATAAAATTTATTTCTCATACATTTCAATCTTTATATATTATTTCATATTTTTACAACACATTATTTTATATCTAATACGTTTTTTCGTCTTGATCAAAATTTGTCAACTATATTTTCAGTTATTTTTTGGTTTATAAAAAACCTAATTAGAATGATACGAAGTATTACAATTATAAGTTAATAATGGTTACTGAAAATTACCGTGCATGGCACGGGAACTAACCTAGTAGAAGTAAAAACATCAGTTTCTCTGCTCTGGCCAATCTTGTTATTGTACTACATTAATATTATGCCACTTGTTATTTAGTGTCCTCAGTTGTTTTTCTTTCACTTGTTGTATACTTAAAAGAAGATTAGTCTACATATACACTATCAGTATCAGATTATCTTGCTGGGAACACAAAAATCACAATCATTGTGAATAAAATCGAGTATCAAAATGTTCATAGATTGTGATAGAAAAATAATCTGTCACTTCATTTATTTTGGCTTCTTGGTGACCAAGTTCTTCTAGCGGACACGACGAATGTGCTTACAATATTGATGAGCAAGATGTGGTGGTGATTTTGAGTCTCTTGGTATAGTGATGTATACTTGAGAATGCTGATAAGTAAATGTTTCTTTTGATTATGTTATGTGAATGGCACACAATGTCACTCTCCGAGTTGCCTAACAAACTTTGTCTCAACCTAATCTTATCTGTAATTCTGCTTAACCTGCTCCATTAATATTAAACCTAATTGGATTTTTTGATTGATTTTTTTTCTTTATTAGTTGAGTGCATTAAAGCTGTATTACTTCACCCAAAGAAAAAGGAGGAAAATAAAATATAGCCTTGCTCTCTTGGTAGTATGTGCATCATGCTCCTGAATCCTGATAATGCTGTTGCTTGCAATGCTTAAACTTTTTATTTGTATATTTAAAAGACCAAGAAGTGACATCGGTTGGGCCGGTACATGGGCCATTTGGGCACAACACATTCTGACCTATCATTGGCACAAGCCTATCATAAAAAAATATCATAAGCTCGACACGACACAAAAGACGAGCATGAATTTCATTTTCAAAATTTGACTTGAGTAACTTATTTTATAAGTTATTACATTCCCCCTCCCCCTTTTCTTCCAGAACGGCACAAATAGACACGTCATGATATATGAGTTGGGTAACTAGGGTTGAACCTTGCCCGAGTTTATGGTTGAAATGAGATCTGTTGGCCTGACCAGGTGTGAAGCACTTTATCAACACTCAAACTCTCTTAATGGCTTAAACATGTCCAAATCTTGAAATTACATAAACCAAATAAAAAAACTATATCGACCAAAATTGAGTTAACTAACTCAAATTTAATTCATCTTAACTAAACTTAAGCTAAATAACATACTCGTAACATATAGACCAAAATCGAGTGTATTTCTTCAAAAATATTTGGAATGTAAGCATTGAGAAGTGTGAGCATTATTTTTGCATGGATTGAATTATACTCCTACTTGTTTGATGTTGAGATGACAAAGTCTCGAATTTAGGTCAAATTGTACTTGGATGTTTCTTCTACTTTCCTTATTAAATTGAGAATACAACAACGAAAAATAAATAAGATAAGGCAACTCACATAATTAAATCAATCATGTGTTGCAAGTTGCTTTTAATGGTTTACGGTTAGTTGGATTGCCAATCAATAACTGAAAATGATATGGTTCGGCCCAATATAGTAGTGTACCCCTTTACCTTTAGGACGATTTTGTAGTTTTATATGATATAAATATAAATATAATGGCACTAATTTCTCTCAAGAAACTATACAAATGAAGACATGCAAATGTTACTTTCTCCAAATTTTGCTAGGTATTGCTCTCTATGCTATGTCTTCACACCAACTCTTTAGAAACATGATGAATAATGTCAATGTGTCAATATTTTGTCTCTCCAAAAAACTTGGAAATCAACTAAATCAAGAAATGCTTGGTATTAAAACCGTATAAAAGATTCTTGTTAATACTTCGTATTATTTTGTTGCTGTTGTCGTCGAATTATTATTGAAAAGGTTCCTTTTTGTTAACAACGGTATAAAATTATGGAATGAGGGCTTTAAAAATGACTCACCAATTATTAACAAGTAGTAACGTAACCAAGCAAATTTTGGTGAAAATGGTGGGAAACTTGTGACTTTGAGTCTTTGAGCTCATTGGTTTGAGCCCTACCATCAATATTTACTTAGGAACATGAAATTTGCTTATCTCTTCCTTCTACTCTCAAGCGTTGACCTATGTGCTAAACTGGCTGATTTGTGGGAGACGTTGATTTTATAGAGTCCTTTTTCTACCCCACAAAAAGCTAATTAATACTACTTGTAGTAGTCAATTAATGATTATTTTTTACGCATATTTTCCTAATGATTATTTTTCTTAATTATATGAAAAAATTAACGTCCATATCTACAGAGAACAATAATCCTACAATGTGCATGGTTAAGACTCAATCTCATCAAAACTCCAAAACTTAACATCAAGAGCATCAAAACTTAATATTACAAAACCTCATATCATAATTCCAAAAGCCAAAATTCAAATTTTAAAATTAGATATAGTATGTGGAAACGCAATATAATATGTATTAAATCTTATTATTCTTATAGGTGAAATGTTTAAAACTTAATATGTTTCAACATTTCATAGTCAGATAACTTGGTAACCTAACTTCTCATATCGTACATGGCACCTATAAATGTTGTCTGTGATCAAGAAGAAGGGAGGAAGTGCACAAATACAGGTCTTTGGTAGGTACTTTATCAAAGGTTTATTCTTGATTTCTTGTCTCAAATTCTTGTTATCCTCTAATCTAGCCCCCTTGTCTACTTAAATAGGAGGAGAAGTTGAGAACACTCGTCCAAAATTAGCAACTTATATACATCGTTGAATCTTTAATATCTCATTTATCACAAAATCGAAATTTTACATTTTAAATATTTTCTAGTGTCTTTTGTAACTGTTTTATGTAACAAACAAAGCTGATTAATTAGATCCATCATCTTATCTAAGATTTTTTAAAATTGATTCTAGGCCCTTGGCAAAATTCAGGCCTAAATCAAGCCCAACATTTTTTTTTTTTTGGATGTAACATTGAAGCATAACTCGGTGGCGTTGAAGCCTCATGCAGTCATGCTACATTGAAAATTTTTACCTACAACCCCCTTTAGTCAATGCTGCCTACTCCCCCCAATTATATTACATCGTTTTACCTGTTTATGCTTTTCTGTTTTTTTTTTTTTTTAAAAAAAAATTTATTTATATCTTATCTCTCAAGTCATTTATATATATGATTCAAAACCTATTTTTCTGTTATTTTCTTTTTTTTATTTTTTTGGCATTTTCTCTCTTCTTCAACATTATTTCTCTTTCAATCACTTTTTTTCCTCTTATATATGGATGAATCATTGATTGGAGCTGTTGGTTGTGATAATGAAGTGCTACATTCTTTGATTGTCGAATTTGATCGTGATTGTGAAGTTATTTTGTCTCTGATTGGAGTTGTTCAATTTGATCAATTTTGCCTCTGATTTCGATTAATGCTTGCTGGTCAATTGTTTGATTCAATTTTGTTAGCTGTTTTGTTTTAAATTATTTGCTGATTTTATTCGATTTTTCTAGTTTTTTTAAATCAATTTAGCCTATGTTTTAGTTCAATTTGGTTTGGTGTTATAATTCAAGTGAATTGAAGTTTTTATTTTAATAAATTTTGTCTCTCATTTCGATTAGTATGATTTATGATTCAAGTTTGTTTGCTGTTTTTAGTTTAATGATTGTTGATTGTGATTTGTTTTCTGTGAGTGATTAGATTTTTTTATATACGTTTTCGTGGGTTTTTTTTAGTAGTTTTACAATTTTGATCAATTTCATAATTCTAAATGATCATTATGATTCAAACTAATGTTCTGTTATAGATGTTTTAATTATATTTTAAATATTTAGTACTTTATTTTATTTTATTATTTTGATCAAATTGATAATGCTAAATGATCATTTATATATGTACTGTTTTGTATTTGTACATATCTGTCATTGATTATGTTCATTTTTAAAACTTATACAGCGGGTGCTAGTGATGAAATTTTGTATGAAGAAGCAACTAAATCAGAGTTACTTTTTACATATTTTAATTCTGAACAAGAAATTTATGGCAGGTATAATGAATATGTTTTTAAGAAAGAATTTAGTATTGTCCAAGTGCGTGCTCCAAGAAAAGGCCAAGTTCATTCAAGTGCTCCAAGTGATGTCCAAGTTTCTTTAAGTGTGCCAAGAGAAAAGGTTCAATTACGTCCAAGTGTTTCAAGAAATTTTCAAGTTCCTTCAAGTGTTCCAAGAGATGTTCAAAGTGTTCAACGTGGTAGCTAATCAACATATTTCTTCTAAGAATGATAGGTTGTTAGTTTTTTCTTTTTTACACTAATGTA